TTACTTACTTACTTACTTACTTATTTTACTTTATTTCACTTCACTTCACTTCACTTCACTTCACCTTACCTTACCTTACCTTACCTTACCTTACCTTACCTTGCCTTGCCTTACCTTACCTTACCTTGCTCTACTTTACTTTACTTCCTTTTACTTTACTTTACTTAGTTAGTCAGTTAGTCAGTTACTTAGGTAGTTAATTAGTTAATTAGTTGGTTAATTAGTTAGTTAATTAGTTAGTTGGTTAGTTAGTTAGTTTGTTTGTTGGTTGGTTGGTTGGTTAGTTAGTTAGTTAGTTAGTTAGTTAGCTAGTTAGCTCGTTCGTTCGTTCGTTAGTTATTTAGTGAACTATCTAGCCAGTTAATTGGTTTATTGACTAGTTAGTTACTTACTTGCTTTTTATCTTAATTATCTAAGCTAGTTAACTAGCCATCTCGTAGCTAGTTAGCTAATTAGCTAACTAGCTAAATAACTAGTTAGTCAGCTAACTAGCTAACTAATTAGTTAGTCAACTAGTTTGTTAGGTAGTTAGTTAACTAATTCAGTTTATTATTACTTAGCTAGTGAATTGGTTAGTTAGCTAGCTAGCCAGCTAGCTAGCTAGCTAGTGAGTTAACTGGCTAACCCGTTATTTAACTAACTAGCTACTTGGCTAGTTCGTCCGTTCGTGCGCTCGCTGGTTCATTAACTATTCAGCTGGTAGTTCATCAGCTGTTTCGTGGCTATATAGTTCGTTCAATTCAGTGAAATTGAGTTGTGTAAAGCCAAATTAGCCCTTGCTACGTTGCGGCTAAATTGCGCTTGTATTGTTCTGCCCTCCCCTCCCCCCTCCCCCCCCCTCTCCCCATCCCTCTCCCCTTCCCCCTCTCCCGCCGGCCCGCCCGCCTTGCCTGTGCGTGCCTTGCCTTTTCAAGCCTGGATAAACGTCCCAACCGAATGCACAACATCAGCAACCACGAGAGGATGTGACATGTTTCCGTGGCAATGATGACTGCTGCACGAGTAGGCCGGCACCAAGCCCTAAAGCCGCAGAAGCCGCATCCCCAAAGGGGTACCTTAAAAAAGGATGCACTGAAAGAGTTGCTTTGTTGCAGGGACGTCTCTGCAAAAACCTGCTATCCTCAAATTTCGAGGAAGAAGGTTCCTCTCGATACCTCGTGATGGTCGCACTGACAGTATCGAGAGCCCTTGAACGCCCAGTTGGTGGTAGCCGCATCCATCGAGACATCACTAAAGGGACCGAAAGCAACTCACTCTTAACTATCCCGGTGGAAACACTGAAAAGACAGGGTTTTCAGGGGCCTCTATACTTCGTAGTGGTCAGGTAGCCGGCTGTTTGTCCAGATCCTGGACGTAGCCGCACGAGAGAACAAAAGTGTATGAATTTTGAAAATTTAAAACAGGTCAGCCAAAAGATGCAGAGCAAATACCAGGGGGATCAAGGGGGAGAGCCAGAAGCGTACCTTACCAACAGAAGGGGGACGTACGATTAGACAATAGCAAAAACGGGTAACATAGATTACGAACAGTCGGAAAATCAACTATCACTAGACCAGGCGTGTAGACTGGCGCTGAGGAGCAAATCATCACCGTAAGCACCGTGCGTCAGCCACTTCAAAAGACACTAGCAAAAACATTACGACAACCGTCCAGACACAGACCTCCTGCAAGGCATAGCGTAGTTTTTTCGACACTTAAATTTCGCGGCATGGAGTATCTCAGCAAACAGCGAATCAAGACCCATCATGGCCCGAGGAAAGTAGTGCCCTATTAGTGGCACTGTGACTCGGGCACGCAATCTGGACACAGAATTCCTGTAGGGCATAGCGTAATTTTTTCGACACTGAAGCTTCGCAGCATACAATAGCGTAGCAGGTAGCGAAGCACGACCAACACTTGCCAGAAAGATAGGACCCTAGTGTGAGACTTACAAGCTTAATATCATTGCTCTTTCGACTGGAACCCAGACAACTGCAGACAGCGAAGACGACAACGGTGGTAGGGACGATTACCCCGCGGGACGGCACCCGGCTGGACCGGACGGCACCGGCACCAGACAATAAACGGTATACGACCCCACAAACAGACGGCACATTATTCACAGCACACCGGCTGGCATATGGATCACGCAGTATATATCGGAGGGAAAGCGTCGTATCACATATATTGGTGCGGCAATTGGGCCCGGACGTCTCATGTTGTTCGATGTGCCATCCTTTGGTGCAAGCTTGTTTCGGCTGCGTATTCTATATAAGGGTGTGGGAGCGCCAACATGTTATGAGGAGGGGGCGAAAACCTCCAAATCTTAAAGTTCTTTTGATAAACACCTC